TATATATATATATATATATATATTTATATATGTAGAGAGAGAGAGAGAGAGAGAGAGAGAGTCAACTCAAAGCAGCAAACACACCTAATATTCCTGCCTCCTATTTTAAGTCCTTCCTCGCTGAAACACCTTGGAGACTAGCAATTAAGAACACATTTTTCTTAAGCAACCATGAGATCCTCTGGATCTGACATTGCTCTTATCAGCGGTAGTCAGATGAAAACTAAGCGGGCGGGGCGGGGAGAAAGAGATTCGCAAGAATGAGGCTCACTTATCGTATAAAATCATGGCATCGTTCTGGGCCTCCTGCCCGTCATACTGGCCTTCCTTGGCTGCCAGCTGGGACTGGAAATTATCTGCAGCCAGCCAGAACTGCAAGATATTAACAGCATCTTCTTTCTCCATGAACTAGCAAACAAAAATAGAATGTGAGTGCAAACATTCCTCCTAGAACTGCTAACATTCACTATAGAGAAAAAAAGGGAAGGGGAGAAAAGGCACAGGGGGAGGGGAAGGGGAAGGGGAAGAGGAAGAGAAGGAACACAGAAGGAGGGGAGGGGAGGGGAGGGGAGGGGAAGGGAGGGGAGGACCCTCATGAGGCATTACTCTTATTTTAAAAAAACAGAAAGCACACTTGAGACGGTTTTAACATTAAGCTCAAATCAAGATTTGATCACGAGAGCTCCCAGATGGAGAGACGTTCTGGGTTTCATTCAGAGAAAAATCACCCAGCAAAGAAAATGCCACGGACTGTGCAATAATGGGGCAAGGTCAGAGCCAGTGAAAATAGGCACACGGGCAGAAAATAAAACCCCTTGGGGAGGGGAAGTATGTGACCCGCAAAGAGGCAGCTTCCGATATAAATACACTTGACAATTCTCCAGAACTCTTCACAGCTGTGTTTAAAACAATTCTGCATCTTTAAATTTAGGACTGTTTTCACACCCACAGCCACACATCAAAGAGTCAACAGTGAGCAGAGGATCAGGGTTTTCAGCTCAACCCCAAGACGACATTTCAGGAGGGTGAAGTCTGTTTTCATAACAAAGTCTGAGCTTTTAGGCACACGCAGCCAAGGCTTTATTTCCTTCCGATAACGCAGGGATGAAGGCCACCCTTCTCCCAGCGTGGTTGGGAAGGCAAATTCCGCACAACCGGACGGCCACAGGCCCTTGTGCTGAATCTCCTGGGCTCTGCCAAGCACCAGGCCACGCCGAGAAGCAAAGGAGCCCTGTGTCTTACCTCGGAGAAGTAAAAAAGGGCAGATTCGCAGAAGAGGATATCGGCCAGGTAGACCGTCCCGCTCGTCAGCACCTCGATCTGATACTTGCAGAAGTGATGGCTTCGCAGGAATTCACTAAAGTGCCTGCAGGAGGGAGAAAACAGGGTCATCGGAAGCCAAGGGGCTGCCTGGGCCAGCTCCTCCATTCCAAGGTGCCAGAACGAACAGAAAGTAGACAGGAAGAATGACCTAGCCGAGAAATATCCCAGCGAAGGGCTCAGAACTGTCTGCTGTTCCTCAAAGGCACCTCCTGTTTTCCAAGGCTTCTGCATGAGCTGCAAAATCACTCTCAATCCATGCACAGCCTTAACCCTCCACCTTTGCTGTGGTCACTGGCCAGCACAAAGCGGATCCCAGGACGAGTTCAGTGCTAGATCCGTCAACTGGACCAGTAGGATTAAAACGAATACAAGGAGACCTTAAGTCTCGGACTAACGCAAGGGCAAGCTTAAAAAGGAAACTTAAAAAGGAAATTGAGAGAAGTAACAATGGATGACAGAGTGAAATCAGCTAAAGAGGGTTTAAGGATCGCAGGCCACAAACGGGCCTCCAACAAACCTAACAGGAATAGAGTGCAATATAATAATTGACAAGGGAAGTATAAAACAAAGCACGTGTTCCCCTAAAAGGCTAATAAAAGATAATCAGTTTTAGACTTAGTTGTACCAGGCTGATGGCGCTCAATCAAATCCAGTTACCGTGCGCCTTATTTTACACCAGGGTTTGTCAAACTTGGCCACTTTAAGAGCTGTGGACTTCAACTCCCAGAATTCCCCAGCAATTCTGGGAGCTGAAGTACACAGGTCTTAGCTGCCAAATTTGAGAAACCCCATTTTACACACAGCCACACAGAACTTGGCTCCATTACGCATCGTCTCAGGGTGAGCTTCAGACAGTAGGAATTGCACGTCTTAATTTCTTTTTTTCTTTTTTTTGAATACACGGGGGTAGCCTTAAAACAGCACTCCCCCGTCCAATTTTTTCCCACGACAGCCCTGTGAGGCGGGTCAGGTTGAGAGTGAGAATGACTGACCCCGACAGCCCTGTGAGGCGGGTCAGGTTGAGAGCGAGAATGACTGACCCAAAGCCCCCCAGGGGGTTTCCACGGGGGAGGGTGGGCTAGAACCTGGATCTCCCGGTCATAGTCCAACCTCTTCACTTGGACCCCACACCGGGCTTATGGCAAAAGGACTAGGACAGGAAACTGTATGGACATCCAAGGGGCAACAGGATGACTCTCAACCCTTACGTTCACGCTGAAAGGGGCAACGGTCTCAGAAAAAGACCCGAAGGATGCTTTGCCCACCTTGCTCTGGGGCTGGGCTAGAGCCAAACCTAGGAACGGGAAGGCAAGAAGCTTCATTCTGTTTAAATGACTTACTCTTGCTCCATGGCATTAAACACTACTGACTGTGCCATGACAAAGCAGTTGGGGTCCACCTGTCCGTCTTCCCCGCAGATCTTTGCTGAAAAGTCACCAGAAGATATTCCTGTTAGTGGCAGAGCTTACAGCAGAGAAGACAGGCGGCTTAGAGGCCGGCCACCAGCGAGGAGGGACGCGCGGCACGTGCTCCTGACCACAGCGGTTGGAAACCGGGCTGCAGGGCACGGCTCCCTTCCAGCCCCGTCTCCCCAGGTTGGTTATCGTGAGAGACGGCCGTGGTTTGGGAGCGTGACTTCTTACCCACGATATCGTTCCTCATCAACTCTGTAATTGGTATTGGTTTAGCAGCATCTGGAGAAATATATTTGGTAAAAATGGTAACTGCATCCTGCTCGATACCTAGGAGGAAGAGAGAGAAGAGATAAAAGGGTCCACGGCTTGGCAACAGCGATGCTGCACAAAGGAGAACTGGGGTTCATCTGAGGTCGTGGCGAGTCTGGAAAAGAAACGGTTCGCCGGTTTTCAGAAATCTTGCAATGAATAACTGGAGCTTAAGTTTTCTTTTTTGAGAAGGAAGCCAAGAGTTGCACAATTCCATCTAAGAGGAAGATTGAGCGGGGACCTTTTTTTTGTGAAGAGCAATCCCCTTTGTCCCAGCATTGAGTGACTAATTGCTTTGAAACCCAGGGCCTTTCAGAAATGGATCTTCCTCCCCTCCGGAACAACTCTCCCAGGAAATGCCCATCTTGCCTCCATTTTCTTCCCCTCCCTCTGTGGCTTAGAGCACATGGGTAGTCCTTGTTCAGCGACCGTTCAAAGTTACGGCGGTGCTGGAAAAAAAAAAACTTTACAGTTGCAGCATCTCTCAATCACGTGATCACCATTACAGCCAGTACACATTGTCCCGTGCCTGACCCATTGTTTTTCTTTTTCCCCCCTTACAGAGCGGAGAGATTGGAGAAGAAGGGATTACAGGAGAGTAAGCAGGCACACCATGGGGAATACACATCAAAAGGAATGCGGTGGCACACTGAGCCTGGTGTATTCCTTATGGTGTGCCTGCTTACTCTCTTGTAATCCCTTCCGCTCCAGTGAATGTAAACACAAACCTTAATTCCCTTCTTGCTAATTATCCCAGCACCGGGGTGAGCATTCCCAAGGGCGGGGGAGTGGGAAAAAGGAAAGCCCAGTTGCACTTATGTGATTTCCCACTTAGCGCCCGCTTCGCTTAACAACAGAGTTGCTGGTCCCAATTGTGGTCGCTAAACAAGGTCTCCCTGTAATTGTCTTGGGGACCAGACCTATTTTCCTGACACCATCATCTAATGATCTCTGCAGCACCATATACTTTTGAACAAAGACATACCTCACTGAGGAAAAAAGAATTCTTTGCAACACTTAAAATAATTCCTTCCGTGGCAGGTGTGAGGAACCTATCCTTCCTGCCTCAAGCATCACTAGCCATTCTGGCAAGGGCAGCTGGGAGTTGTAGTTCAGCTACAGCTGGAAGGCTGCACTGCTCTCCACCACTTCTACAGCTTTGGCCACGCAGTGAAAATAAACCAATCGAGCACGCCCTTCCCTGTGTAAAGAGCCTGCACCACACTACTTGTATTCAAACCAGGAATTCTTCATGCTTCAAATCTCCCTTTACTTATAAACTCTTTAGCTGAGCTTTGCAAAACCAATTGTTCTCTTGCGAAGAGATGACCTGTTACCTCACTCCAATCACTTTTAGCAAATCAAGGGAAACATTAAAAAAACACACCGTGAACGATGAACACAGTGAATAGGAGGAGCGGATTAAGGACTGGATTCTTAATCTCAGTCATGCTCCTCTGACTAAATTGAGATTTAGTATTACATGCACAGCACAAACTTCTCTGAGCCCAAGCAAAATTCTTCCTTCTCCAGTTTGTGTTCCTGAACTTTGGGGCTTTGTTGCAAGCAAACCAGGGATTGTGGTTTAATGTAAACCCAGGTCAGCAGCACATGAGCAGGGGTTGGCCCAGGACACAGGTTCCAGTTTAGCCAGCAGATCTTACACTTTAACCTAATTCCCTCCAGAAGAACTGAACTATGATGCTGACTGGGACCATACTGGTGGTCCTGGGAATGGAAGTCTGTGTCCTCCTGAGTTCAGAGAGAAGGTAGGCCCTTAAATGAGGATGCCACTGCAAAATATGGGGAGCTTCTTGGAGAGGGTGCGGATGCTAGGAAGGGCTTACTTTTCATGAGTTTTCCTGATAAGTCCTTTAGTGCAAAGGAAGGACTATTTCTATTGGACACTGAGACATTGGAAGAGTCTTGAGGTTCATCCGGAACAGGATAGTCCTCTGTCTCCGACGTTCCCAACCCCAAACGGGCTTTACCGCCGCCTTCGCAAAGCAGCAAATGGTTCCGAAGCATCAACGTTGATCTGTTTGGTTCGGCAACTGTCAAATAAGCAGGGGAGGGCTCAGTGGGGCAGCAATCCTCCAGGCCTCCGTTGAGCGACTCGCTGTGGAGGGAAAACCCAGGAAGGTTCTGCTGCTGGAGAGAAGGGGACACCGGCTCAGCCAGGGAGCTGTGCTTAACCGTGTTCAAGCTGTGTGCTCTGATGCGGGACCACGTGCTGGAGCGGAAGGTCTCAGCTTCCAGCCAGAATCTGACCAGGTGCTCCATGCGATGGACCTCCATGTACTGGGTGAAGTAAGGGAGGGCCACAGCATCGCGCAGGACTTGCTTTAGCGTCTTGGAGAGGCTCGACTTGGTTTCTTGAGCTTGATAATCCAGACAGGAGCGGCCTGGAGGAAGCAGAGGGAGAAGAGGTGAGGACTTGGTTCCTGGGCTGAGACGTTCTCTGCGCTTGCAGGTAGGCACCCTACCAAATATCTCAACCTGGCAGCTTACAGAGGACGGAAGCTGCCTCTAAGAGCTGATGGGCCAGAGCAAAACTAGCTATTTCCTTGTGGCCTATTGAGTGAGGAATAGGGCCCTCAACTGGTTGGAAACATTCTTTTAGCCGATTCCCATATTTTTCTTTGGCCTTAGATAAGGGAAGAGTATCTTCTCGAGGATACCATCCCAGTGACTTAACTGCCATAGCCGTTTCTCTGACGGTGCGTACAGAGGATGTGACCGAGATAGCCCACTACAATTCTAAGAAACACTTACACCACAACATTTTTAAAAAATATCCAATCGATCCGAGAGCCTTTCTAAGTCAAGCTTTCAACTGCATTGTAGCCTTACTGTTGCAAGGTTACCAGGAAATATTTCATCATCGCAGGCCAGGCAGAGGCCTGCAACCTTCTGGCTGGGTGGAAACCTCTGCAGTTTTGAGGGTCAGGCAAATGGCTGCTGGAAGTGGTGGGCGACGGCCCTGCTCATTCGTGAAATGGCTGGGTTGGGGGATGCGCTCAGTTTTAAAGCACTGATTCACTAGGATTTTATGGACCACTTCCCCCTACCCAGCTCTGCTTCCCTTCACCATTTTTCTGGTCAGGGAGACTCTCCTATAAATAAAACACTGCCTTAGAGCTACCCATCAAGCATATTTTATGTCTCTATGTCAGCGTTTCTCAACCTTAGTCATTTTAAGATGCGTGGACTTCAACTCCCAGAATTCCACAGCCAGCATGGCTGGCTGTGGAATTC